TGCTTAACATTAAATATACACGCAATTTCTTTCTTTAACTCCGTTCACCTTCGGTTTAGGGATTACATCTGTATATCTTTTGTCAAGACGAAGGGGAAAGAATCTGTTTCACATCTCTCCTCGAGATTGGCGAGGGATGACTTCTCACCTGTGGTTTCTCCTCATTAATTTGACGTTATCTCAAAAACATTGGCTGCACTGGCGGGCAAATTCCCCTGTCTCTTATTACCTTAAGCCCCAAACATTTTTACGTTCTGCGCTCCTTGTCGAAGGCTTTTAGGTGTGCTAGGTGGCAGTGTTTGCTGAGGGACGAAACGGAAAGACATAGGAAGCCTGCACGAGCGAGCCTCGTTGGGTTTTTTTATTTTTTGCGTGCTTGCTTTGTTCAAGTAATGTTTTCAAATTTAAGGGGAATAATTTCTGCCTCGACCAATACGCTCATGCTATAAAACTCTGATGTAGATGACACATTTTAAACGTCTCCCAAAGGCCCAGTTCATTGGTAATGGCGTTCAAACATACTTGAGATACCTTTTGAATAATCAATTCACTTTTTTTTGTTGAGGTTTTTCGGCGGTCGCAACTACATAAGGTCATATTAGCGCCAGAAGATTAGAGGTGTTACAAGAGAGTAACAAACATAAAAGAGAAGGAGGGGAGATAAGGACGATAGATGTTTTATAGGAAAGAAGAAGCAAACCACACCAGAGCACCCTCCAACCACCCACAATTCACTTTCTAAATCAGGAAAAAAAGTGACATTATTTATTATGGCTAGTTCTCTATCATTGATGAAGATGACACTTTTTGACGTAGATTCTAATCCATAGTCTCTGCCCATTGGTAAAAGCGTTCAAACCCACCTGAGATTTCTTTTGACAAAATCAATTCTTTTTCTTAATTAGGAAAAATTGCCATATTATTATGGCGGGTCTTTTTTATTACTGATCTTTTTGGGTTGTTTTTATGTTTAAGTTGGAGTGAAGTGTAATAATGTGTTACTAAATGTGTGTGTGTGTATGTATGTGTATGTGTGTGTGCGTGTGTGTGTGCGTGTGTGTGTGCGTGTGTGTGTGTATTTGCGTGTGTATTTGTGTGTATGTGTATTTATATATATATATGTATATATATACCATTTCCACACACGTCATGTATGTTTTGCATGAACTGTGAATGTCGTTTTAGCAGAGTGGGGAATCTTGCAGTGTGTTATCCTTGACTGCAGTGTAATTATAACAGAAGGAATTTGCATTTTGCATGGTTTTGTGTTGATGATAACATTGTTAAACATTTTTTTTCTTCAAAGTACGTTTTGTCTAATTATTTCTATACATTATATGTTCCCCCATTTAGAGTGGCTGGTGGGGAAGGTCATGGTGCCCCGCCCAGGTCAACGTGTTTGTTACTTCATGAATAATTATTCATTTCTGGGGTGATTCATGAATTAATCATTCATTTCATGGGGTAGGCTGGTAGGTTATGAAATATTCATGTGTGGATAGTTCATGAATTATTCATTTCTTTAGTAGTTCGTTTATGGGGTGATTCATGAATTCTTAAAGTCTTAGGTAGTTCATGAAATAATCATTGATGAAGTCGTTCATGAATTATTAATGGGGTAATCCTTGAATTATTCATTGATGGGGTAGTTCATGACATGTCCATTTCTTGAGTAGTTCATGAATTATGGGGTGGTTCATGAATTATTCATTTTTGAGAAATATCACGAATTGCTCTTCCCCAAAAAATAGATTACTATGCATTTTTCAGCGAAAAGCAGCAGTCGTATATATACTATATATAATATAATACATGGGAATAACCCCCCCCCCCCCCTTTCCCCTCCTCCTACGGGTGCTAGGATTTGTTCCTTCTCTTTGTCTTCTCTGTGATTTTCTGGTTGTGATTTGTGTAAGATCTAAAACTCTTTTTTTTAATGTAGAACAAATTGAAACATTTTTAACGTATTTTTTTGTTGTATGTCAACTTGCTTTGTGCCAGTGTTTTATTACTTTAATGTAGAACAAATTGAAACATTTTTAACGTATTTTTATTAGTTTTTTTTTAAAAAGTCAGCTTGCTTTGGGCCAGTGTTTTATGACTTAACGGCGTCTCTGGTGCAGCAGTTAGGCGTTTTTGCCGTCACACGCGGAAGGTGTGAGTTCGATTCCCGTGTGGGGGGAGAGTTTTG